CCACATACAAAGATGTTGTGTCCGCCGAAAACTAAAAAAAATAAATATTAAAAAAATTTTCAAAAAAAAAAAATAAAGTTTTCCCCACTTATGGGGAATGATGGATATGTTTAACCTGCTTTAAGCATTACATCATGCAAACATGTATCGTAACATCACTAATGTATACAATTTTTATGTTTTTATATACTAGTTAAAAAATAATACTGGGGGTGTACCTCAGTGGTAGAGCACTTGCTTAGCATATATGAGGCCTTGAGTTTGATCCCCAGCACTGCAAAAATAAATAAATAAATAAATAAATAAGATTTTTTAAAAATGCACTCTAACATACATTTTTTTTCCATTTATTTATTTATTTTTTTTTTTTGGTGGTGCATGCAAGTCAGGCACTCTACCAACTGAGCTATATCCCCACCCTTAACATACACTTTTGCACAACAAACTTCTTTTGGTAATATTGCTATTCTCATTTCATGGATGTAACTAAAGTTTAACAATCTGCCCCATTACATGATGGTAAGCATGGAGCATGGGGCTTTCCCGTGGTCTGGTGAAGAGCTATTTTTTTGCTGTATGTATTCTGTGTCTTCAGGCTGGAGGAGGGGGAGTAGGCCAAGAAGAGAAAGAAGAAAATGGTAAGCAAAGGGACTCCAGCATGGTGGGAGGCTACAGAGTGCAGAAAACAGTTTATCGGAGAACGCAAAAGGTAGCAGCAGAGTAGGGAGGTTGGGGGAACCAGGTGCAGCCTTCGGTGACCTCCTTACCAGGGTCATCTGCAACTGCACTGACACACTCTGCAAAGGGGCTGGAGTTGGGACTAGGAGGTGGAGAAGGGTTGCAGAAGCTATTCCCTGGGAGGCAGAGTCTAGCAGGGCCAACCCACCTCCCCCTACCCACATTCTCCCAAGTTTCATAATTTTTTCTCCTTTCTGTTTTTTTCTTCAGTTATGGTTCTCTAAATTGCCCTGATTGATCTCCAGTTTGACATCTTCCTACCTCAACCTTCCAAGCAGCTGGATTTATAACCATGTGCCACTGTGTCTGGCCTCCATGACCACTTTCTGCAACTCTCAAAGTATAGTGCCTGGGCTTCCCCCACCCCATGGAAGGTTAGAACTGTCACATCTCAGAGCCCAGCCTGGGCTCAGCCAGCTGACACCTGCAGCCCCTGGAGAAACTGTCAGCCTCAGAGTGGAATAAATAAAACCTGTCCCACCCCAACCCCATTCCCTTCAAAGGAGGAACTCCATTTTGTGGTGGGCCTGAACAGAGAAACCTAAGCCCTTTGCTCTTCTTCTTTGTAGAAGAATAGCAGAACCCTAACACTTCTGACTGATGGAGGATGTAGGGCAGGGCAATTTCTGGGCCTGCCTAGACTCCTGCCCTGTCCCATGGAGCTGAGACCAGTTCAGGGGCAGGATAGACACTGGCAAAAGTCTGACTGCACAAAATACTGCTTCCTGCCAGACACACTTGGCTTGCCAAGTTCTTGTACCTCTGTTTACTGCCAGAACATGTGAATAGTAGACAATGGAGGAGGCTGTCCAGTCCATGAAAAGACTGGGGATAGCTGGGAATGGTGGCACATGCTGCTTAGGAGGCAGGAGAATTCCAACTTTCAGGCCATTCTGGACAACTTAGGATAAAACAAAATGATGAAGCTCAGGGGTAGAGCCTTTGCCTTGCATGGGCCAGGTTCTGGGCTCCATCCTCAGTACCAAAAAAAAAAAAAAAAAAAAAAAATTCCACGATGAGCTTGAGTGTTGTGACACATACCTTTAATTCCAACCAGTTGGGGGGCTGAGACAGGAGGATCTCAAGTTTGAGACCAGCCTCAGCAACTTAGTGAGGCCCTGTCAGTCTTTACCACTGACAGTACTTTGTGCAATTAGACCTGTGGCCTGAGCAACTTACTGAGACCTGAACTAAAAATAAAAAATAAAAAGGGCTGAGGATGTTGTTCAGTGGTTAAGCACACCTGAGTTCAATCCCTGGTACCAAAATAAATAAATAAAGGAATAAGTGATGAGAAAGTGGTAACTTTCATCTTGTCCACTCTATCCCTCAGGAGGAAGCCAGTTGCTATGTCATGAGAGGCTGTGTGGGAAGACTTTGAGGCCTCTGGCCCTCAGCCACCTGAGTGAACCTTTTTGTAGGCAGATATTCTAACCCCATCAAGCCTTCAGATGACCACTGGCTTGGCCACATCTTGGCAGTAATCTCATGAGAGACCCATTACTGAAATTACTCAACTAAGCCACTCCTGATTCCTGACTGTGTGAGATAATGTTTATTCTTTTGAATTATTAAGTTTTGGGGTAATTTGACAATAGATAACTAATACACTCCCTTTCTACTTAAGGACCTGAGATGATTCCCCACCCATTCTCCCACTGAAGCACTTGAGCTCCTTAACTCCTAATGTCTCTTCCTGTCCAGGCCTCCCTTCCAGAACACTGGTTTACAGAAATCCTGGTCTGTGTGGTGTAGCGCAGTGGTAGACCATGTGTCTAGCATAGCATACATGAGGCCCTGGGTTCAATCCTCAACACTCCAGTTAAAAAAGAAAGGAAATGCCAAATGAATTAACTCTTCTCTCTGGAGGCCTTAGGAGGCCCCCCAAAGAGCTGGAGATTATCCTCCTGGCTGGAGAGTGGGGTTTTGTAGGGAGAAGATGGAAGAGTCAGGGATGTCACTCTCTAGGAGAGGCCTCAGGAGAAACATTGTATGCACAAGCCCTCGGGCCCCCTCTTCCTTCCGCCCTTTATTTTCTCTTTCTGGGAGGTGGAGCAACAAGGTGGTCCAGCACTCCGCTTCTGTCCCTTCATGAAAGAGCATGGGGAAGTCCCTGCATGAGCCCCAGCGAGTCTTTGATGATTCCTCTCATAAGCCCAAAGGGCATAGAATGTTATATAGTAGAAAGGAAAAAAGCCACCCACAGAACTTTCCAGGAAACCACTGCCCTGTGAAAGCATGGGGCTTCCACTAAGGCTGTAGAGAATAGGGTCCTGTGGCAGAGCTGTGGAATGTCCTCAGCAGCTCCCCCAACCCCACAGCAGGTGGTGGGAATGATGCTCTGGAGACTTTCAAAGAAGCCCTCAGGACTTTGTTTTAGTGTGATCATCCCTGGCAAGTGCTACAACTTCCTCCTCTCTGTGCAGCTGTTTCTCCACCTGAGGCAAAACAAGAATCACCACCACCATCTTGAGGCTCAAAACATCAGACTACCTCAAATGATTCATTATTCAGGCTTCCGGGGGTGGACCCCTTTCCCTAAGGCTTCACACAGAACGATGGTGTCACTCTCTCCATTCTCCGTCCCCAAGTCTGTGGTTATTGTATCTCCTATCTCCACAGAGACAGTCTTCAACCTCATTATTTGTCCCTTCATGTCACTTTGCACATGGCATACAGGTTCAGAGCAACAACCAAAAAGGCAGTTTGTCAACAGCAGTGCATATGCCACTATGTACCTCCCACTCCTGCAGGCTCCCCACGATTTGCTTTCAATATTTTGTTCTCCTGTAGAGGGCTAAAGTTCCCTGATAGACAGAGCTGTCTGCAACCAAAATTTAGGGCCTCTACCCATTACAAATGGTGAGACGATATGCCATGGGCTGAGGCCCAGTGTGCTATGTTAAAAAGGCCAACTATATGGTCCAGAGGATCTCTCCAAGAAAGACAGAGAGGAGCGCAAATGGGCATGGGGGTCTTCAATATCATTATTGGCATAACCAGAACAGGCCCACTTTTTCCTTCATTCAATAATAGAAATTCAGACAAGTACATTGCATATGAAGAGCACTTCACAGTTTTCAAAGTTCTTTTATTATTCCATATTCACAACCCATTTTGGTGGGTTGTTATCATTATCCCTTTTATTTTTCTTTTTGAGATAAGTCTCACTATGTTGCCCAAGCTGGCCCCAAACTCCTGGACTTAAGCAATCCGGCTGTCTTAGCCTCCTCCGTAGCTGGGGCTACAGACACGTGACAGCACCCAGCCATTATCCCATTTAATAGGTGAGAAAACTGAGGCTCTAGGAGATTGGTGACAGTCACATCAGCAGAACCAGAATGAGAAGCCAGGGCTCCTTACTCTCACAGCTTCAGCAACAGCCAGTTGCCTAGATGCTGTTTTTCCTCCCCTTTGTCAAACTTGCATGATAACTCTGCAAGGGTCAGGGCTGTATCTCCTAAAACAAGCAGTTCGGTTCCTCTCCTGCAAGGTGTGTAGGACATGCGAGAGCTGTTGGGTGTACAGAGAATATGCATACCACAAAGCAGTGCCTGCACACCCTGTTGATCTGTGCCCTGCTTTATTCACTGCAGTGTGAACTCTCATAGTCGGCCCAGTGACCTCCTGTGGGGTGTAACAAGCAGTGACCACTGGGTGGCAGTGTGTTCTCATGCCTGGGACTAGAAAAGTGGCCAGGGCTAAGGTATGTGGGGGTGGGGCAGAGGTAGGAACTTCAGCCAACTGCCTAGAAAGGTTGTGAGAGACCCGCTCTCCTCCTGGAGGGCTTGACACGGCAGGGTTCCTGTGTGTGCTCGTGCGTGCGTGCGTGTGTGTGCGAGTGTGTGTGCGCGCGCGCGAGCGCGCATACGTGCCTGTGGCCGCGCGCTCCTCTGCTGCAGCCAGGGGGCCTAGAGCAAGTACTGAAATGCAGCTGAGCATGGGGTGGGCCAGAGGCACAAAAATCTAAAGGAATTTTAGGGCAGCCAGCACAATGTGGGCGGAAGGACGGAGGAGGGGGCTATAGAGGTAAGAGAGGGCTTTTTGGAGCTTTAGAAAGATGATTACCCAGGAGAGAGAACAAGAGAGAGACCAAGGAAGAAACACAGCGGTCAGAAACAGAAAAGGGGAAGATGAGGGAGATTGGCTGGAGAAAATAGGTTAGGAGGCTGGCTGGGGTGGGAGAAGGGAGCCTCTAGAGGCCTCTAGAGGCTGGGGAGAGATTGGAACCTTCACTGGACAAGAAAGAGCCAGACTCAGGCTTGCTGCTGACAGGGGATTTATTTGGTCTGAGCTGCTGAGATCTGCCGATTGCCTCAGCCCCAGGTCAGAGGTGCCTTGGCTCCAGCTCTGACTCCAGCTCCAGTTCAGGCTCTGGCTCCTGCTGTGGCTCCAGCTCCGGCTGTGTCTCTGGCTCCAGCTCCATCTCTGGTTCTTGCCCAGGCTCCTCTATTTTGCTTTGAGACTGAGGAGGGTGAATCCCATGCTCTAAGGCAGAAAATCTTCTGGGCCTCCACTGAGAGAAGAGATGGAGAATGATAAAGGGAAAAGGAATAGGAAGGACACTGAGTCCTTCTATTTTTTCCCCAGTCCTCTGCCTTCTCCATCTGGTTCAGGGCCTTCTCTCAGCCCCTTCAAGCTTCCCAGGTATAAGTAGGTCCCTGTGGAAACTTATGAAGGAAGATGGAGGGCTGATGACAAATTCAGGATCCATTTTGATCATCTTCCCTGAGACAGGTGCCAGATAGCATTCTGAGGAAATTGAGAGAGGAAGCCAGTGGGGTGAGTATCCCTGGCTCACCTGTCTTCTCCAACGGTGAAAGCCAAGGGCTCCAGTCACCAAAAGGAGCAATGAGAGGGCACCAAGGATGAGGAGAGAGAGATGGCCTGCCTTGAGGGTAACTGGAGCTCTCCCAGAGCGTTGGGCACCTATAGACAAAACACAGAATTAGGAATAGGGTCAGGGATAACATGGACATTGTGCCACTCTCTCATACTTTACAGATGCAATAAGGTCCAGAGAGTTTCAGGAACTTGTCCAGGATGGTTCCACTAATTAGTAGGAGCAATGGGTTAGGCCTGGACTTGAGGTCAGGTCCCTGACTAGAACAACAACTCAATTGGAGAGATATTGAAAGAAAAGAGCTGGGGATGGGGAGTGGCAGGAGGAGTTCTGGAAGGGTGATCAAGATGATTTGCTTTTGAGTTGGGGCCATGGCATTTTGGGGCCTTAGACCTGTTGAAGACAGCTCTGGGATGTACACCACTGCTCCGAGAAGCCTCTCTCCTTGGTAAAGTTGGCATTGCCAGGATTGGGAAAGGAGCCTGGCCTCTTGCATCTCCAACCAGGGTCCTGGGGTACTCCTGGACCTCCTGTCCATGGGGTTCCATACAAAACGCTCATATCCTGATGCTGGAGTCACCTCACACAGCAGTTTCCCCAGGGAGCCAGGTAACCCAAAGAGTTTAGGAGTCACTGAAAAAAAAAATTAGAGGAGATCTCTTGGGGTCCTGACCTGGTTATAATACCACAGATTCTCAGTCACCCTGCTTTCACCAGGGCTCTGGTAGGGCAAGGCTGGGAAGAAGGTTAGGGGTCATAGTCAAATTAATCTTGACAATGCTTGGTCAGATTTCCCCTTGCTCAGTAACATTCCAGATTCCCTATTGCCTTTAGAACATGTTCAAACTCAAACTGGCACTAAAGGCCACATAAGCAATATTATTTCAGATTCTTTTATATTACTTTCTCCTGAAATGCTCACACCATCAATATCAATCAGGTAACTTGGCTCCCAATATGCCTTGCAATAGTCCCCCTTCTGTGATTTGACTCACATCAGTGCCCACTGCCTTTGTGGTACCTCTGAATGAACTTATCCCCCTTTCTGAAAGTTTAGAAGACAGTGAACTGACCCAGTGGTTGAGAGACAGAGCATTCTCAAAGCTGTACAGGATATTTGGAGCAGACAAATGGTGAAGGGCCTTGACCTGTCTGAGTATGGCATATGGGGGAGGTAAGATTTGATGACACAGACACCTGAGTTTAGACAATGAGTCTGGCATGTCCCCGCTGTGTGACTTTGAGAACATTCCTTCTCCATAAAATGGGGGTGGGCTGGGTTTACAGCTCAGCTGGTAGAGAGCCTGCGTCACATGCTCAAGGCCCTGGGTTCAATCCCCAGCACCCCAAAAACAAAACAAAATATAAAATGGAGGTAACAATATCCCTCCAATTGAGTTGTTGCACATAAAATGGTTGGCCTAAAAGAAGACACTGGACAGAAGGAATAGGTGGGCTTTGGTGACTGACTGGACGTGAGGAAGGAGGACTCCAGGGTTAGGATGAGTGGAATTCCAATGGAGTTAATGACAGTCTAAGTGAGAAAGTGAATTGGCATAAGACAATAATGGGGTTCAGGATGAGGCTGAGGACTGTAGAAATTCTCAAAGCAGGTAGATATTTGGAATTGACTCTGAGGAGGCATATTATTTATTAGTGTATTCATTTATTTTTGCAACCAATATGCATTATTAAGCACCTACTATGTGGTGCTACTGTTACTAAACAGTAACAGGTGACAGGTAACTACTGCAGATGTTGCTAAAATGTCATGGCTAATAACTACCAATCAATTAACATATTTTTTGAATGCTTTTTTTTTCTGTTTGTTTTATACTGTCTTAAAAAACCCTTGCTCAGTAAATATTTGCTGACCAAGGGGCTGATTTATTAACTCCTTCCAAATCCAGGCAACTTCCTGAAACTTTAACCAGAGCCCTAGCCCCAAAGCAAAAAGAATTCTAGAAATATATTCTACCTACTTTGAATCATTCAAGCTTTTGTCACCTCTCGGAACTTCTCAGACCCTCCCACCAGTTCAGACCAGGGGAGTCCCTTAGAGAACAATGGAACATTTATTTTGTGACTCAATGGGGAGATTTTCAGTTTCGGTTCTTTATGAAGGGGATGAATAAAGAAGCCACAACTTGTGATCCTGGCATCATGGAGTGGATTTGCAGTATTTGACCAGCCCTTCTCCCAGTCCCTGCTCCCCTGGGATGAGAACTACTCCTTTCCCACCTGGGGCTAACCTGTGATGACTGCCAAAGTGATGGTAGCACTCAGCTGCTGCCCCTGTAGGTGGATGTGGCAGGTGTAGGTCCCAGCCTGGGCCAGGCTCACAGCCTCTAGATGAAGAGTGAAGTTGCCATTGTCTCCAGCCACCAGGAGGTCAGGGCCTTCCCCAGGAGGGGACCACTTGGCAATGAGGGAAGACTGGGTTCCCACACCAGGAGGCAGGTGGCAAGGAAGCTCAGCCCTTGAACCTGCTCCAGCATACACTGTCAAGGGCACTGAGGGCTCAAGGCCTGGAGAGAGAAGGAAACCCAAAGTTAAGCCAAGGGGAATGTTCCAGTGTAGTGGGATGGGAATGCTGCAATTGTAGGGAAGGGAGGCAGAGGAGTGACATTGGGGCTGGGGATGCAGATCAGTGGTAAAGCACTTGCTAGGCCCTAAGTTCAATTTCCAGTACCACAAACAAAAAAAGGTGAGGGGGGCGGGCAGGGAGATTGGGCTAAGAAGAGGGCTAAGGAAAAAGTAAGGTGGATGAATTTAGGAAGGGTAGAAGGGGTGCATGAGGAAAGGGGAGGCTGTCACTGGCTTCAGAGGGAGTGACATCTCAGAAATCCAGAAAGTGATTCTAACATGGTGGTACATGCCATTAAGCCCAGTAATTTCCGAAGCTAAGGCAAGAGGATTACAAGTTCAAGGCCAAGTTTGAGGCCAGCATAGGCCACTTAGCTTGACTCTGTCTCAAAATTAAAAAAAAAAAAGAGGGTAGGTAGCTGGGGATATAGATCAAGGGTAAAGTGATGCTGAGTTCTATCCCCAGTAACATATGGGGAGTGAGATCCAGAAAAAGTAAGTTGGGCAAGCAGGAAACCAAAGGTTGGCAAATGAGGCTGATGGCCAAGAGAAAAGCTAGAAGGGGAACTGGCAGTTAAAAGGCTGCCACATGGGGCTGGGGATGCAACTCAGTGGCATGCAGGAGACTAGGGTTCGATCCCCAATGCTGCAATAAATAAATTTTTTAAAGGTTGCCAGAGAAGAAAGGGGTCAGGCATGTAGGCCCAGAGCAATCAGAAGTGACACCAACTGCTGAGAAACTAGTTTTGGGACCCATGAGGGGGGCGGGGGGGGGGGGGGATGTGGGTGGGGTAGGAAGGGGTAGTGGTCAAGGGTAAAGGCAGATTAGAGTAGTTACCCAGAACGGTGAGGTTGTACATGACGGAGACGTTAAAGCCATCACTGTAGGTAATGATACATCCCCAGGTCCCAGAGTCCAAGGGGCTGACTTGGGGCAGAAAGAGGAAGCTTTCAGCTAAATGGTGATGGGGGGACTTCTGGACAGGGACTTGGCTTTGGCCCCGGAACCAGCGCACAGAAGCTGGGCGGTCAGGACGACTGAAAGAGCAGTTCAAAATGACCCAATCTGAGGTCCTGAGAGATCCTGTGGGGCTAGCAGTCACTGCAAGGAGAAAGAAGACTTGATCAGCCCCAACGGAAACATATTCCAACCTAAGGGCCTAACCAAGCCAGAAGCTCCCAGAAACAGGGATCTTGTTTTAGATTTACCTTCTCCCCTCCCCCCCAACCTCTACTCCCCTCCAGCTCAGTAGCTAGCACCTGGAGGAGTTTTAATGTGGATCACTAAGAGTCCTTGATTTCTTTCCATTATCCCCTGCCCCCAGTTTACTAGGCATCGCTTTCCCTTCTCTTTCTCTGGATCTTGCCTGAGGATGCCCATGAAGCCCCTCCATTCCAAACATATCTGAAATGAATCACTGTGGCCCCATGCTCTACCCTCTCTCTGCAGAATAGGTGCCTCCCCACCTCCGCCAGGGCAGTCCTACTGTGGGTGGGCAAAGAGAGGGGGGCTCCAGGGGTGACACAATCTCTCCAAAGGGCCCTCCCTGCATTACACGTGCTTCTCCTGGGGCAACTTTCACTCATCAATCAAGTTCCCGCTGCTTCCTGTACCCTTCTGGAGGCCCTCAGGCAGGGCCTAGGGCACAGCCTCTACCGCAGCCCTTCCTGCCTCGGGAGCAACAGCGGGGAATGGGGGACCACCTCCCCCACGGCTCTCCCTCGTCCCGCCCCACCTACTAGAGGCCTGGCCCACACGTAGACGGAGCCGGCAGGCTAGGGTGCGGTCCTTGAGGCGCACTGCAGCGTGGTACTCGCCAGCGTCGGAGAGCAGAACAGGACGCAGCCACAGTGAGAAGTCCCCACGCTGGAGGCCGCGTTCCTCCAGCTGGAAGCGGGGCTGCAGGGGCAGCCTCCCGCTGCGCAGGCCTCCTGGAGCCACACTCAGCAAGGTGTAGCGTTGGGGCCCCATGCCCCGGGGCGAGGGCACCACAGAGGCGAAGCTTTTAGACAAGGGACGGCTTAGGGTGGGAGCAGGCGGGTCACTGGGCAAGAGAAATAATGAAATTGAGAAATTAGGGGTTAAGAAGTCCCGGAGAAGATACAGTCCAAAAACGCTTTGAGGTAGAGGAAGCCCGCCCCCAAGAGATCTCTTGACTTCCAAAGCACTCCCCAACACACTCACACACCAACCCCATCCCCTTTCCTGTTGGGCCAGCACCATCCACTAATGGAGAGGTTACATACTCTGGAATGCAGATGTAGGAAAGCAGCCTGCAGAGGAAGGGTAGAAGGGGTGCATGAGGAAAGGGGAGGCTGTCACTGGCTTCAGAGGGAGTGACATCTCAGAGGAAGGAACCAGACTGGTTTGGATGTTGAGCTATGTCTGGATACCATTAGTGCTAGATTGGGAGGTTCTGTTGCCCATGTTTGGAGTACATACCTGTCTGGTTGATGCTGCCAGGTGACAACTCCTCTCCGAAGAAGACCAGGATTTTGGAAGGGGATTGTAAGTCTGCAAGGAAGGTGGGCAGGAGTCCCCTCCTGAGCCCATACCACCAGGACCTCTTTCCCAGGGTCTGGAGCCTCCGCTGGAGAAGCAAAAGAGAGGCCAATGGGAGAGGCCATGAGCCAAGAGACTTAAGAGTACAGAAGGACCTCAATGTTTCCCAAATGAGAAACAGGATAGAGGAAGGGCTTGGGTTTCTTTCTGCCTCTTCTCTGCCAAGGGAGAGACTGAAGAGAAGCTCTGGGAGTGCAAAGACTTGCTCAAGAAAGGCATTAGAAGACTCCACCACAGAGCTAAGGACCTCAGGATCTTTCAAGCCATGGAGAGCTCCCTGCTGGCCCCCTCTTGTTGGTCGGGAGGTCAAACTTCCCCCCATCCCCACCTTACCTGGAGCCACCCACAGCAGTTGCAGAAGCAGCAAACCCAGGAACTGAGCCTCCCACATCTCCCCTATGGCCTGGGCTGAGCTGAACCCTCCAAAAAAAGGAGGTCAGAAAAGGGAGTGGGGGTCTGAGGAATAGAAGAGAAATTCTACAAGGAGAAAGGTAGAGGGAGGAAATCTAGAGGAAAGGAGACCACCAAGAGGGAGGCCTGGAAAGGAGGACCAATAGGCTGAATTTCAAGGGGAAAGATGGCCAGATAAGGCAGGGGTGGTACACCCCAGGGACCAGACTGTGAGTAGCAGAGGGCAGAGCAGAGGCAAGGTGGCTGTCTTGAGCTGGGATGTTGTTCTACTGCTCCCAGGGCCCTGGCCCCTGTCCTTCTGCTTTCCCTCCACCCTCCCCGTTGCCCGCCCCCCACACCCCAGGGCTTATGGTTTCGCTTTGCAGTGGAAAGTCTGAGGGGGTTGATTCCCAGCAGCATCACCCTCCACCTCTGAGGTAGCGCTCCCCTTGTTTACTTCCTCAGTCTTGGGTCTCCCCACCACCGCCTTCTCACCCTTCCCCACCCTGCAGACTCTTCCCTCTCCTTGGTACCTCACACTCTTCTCTCCAAATATTTGAGAACTACCCACTTGTCCATCTCTAAACTACCTCCTCAGTCCCAGCATTCACACTTTCGTCTTCCTTCTCTGCTCATCTCCTCCTTCCTTTAACCTCCCAGGATTGCATTTACCCCTGTAGACCTGTTCCCCAGCTGTCTATACAGTGTCTTCTGGGAACAAGATAGAAATGAAACTTCACTGCACCCTACATGACAGTAGAAATGGGGAAGGGAATGTCAGTGTGTGAATAGCTACATTCTTTCAAGCCTTCATTCTGTGCCTGTCACTATATTGGACACTTTATATATAGTCACTCATGAAATGTTTCTCCTCCATTGCACAGATGTGGAAACTGATTCTCAAAAAGATTTAATAATTTCTCAGTGACTCAGGACAAGTTCAAAGCCAGCTTCAGCAACTTACGGAGGCCCTAAACAACTTTGTTTAGGGCTGTGGATTTGGCTAAGTGGTTAAGCACCCTTGGGTTCAATCCCCAGTACCCCACTCCCCCCCAAATTAATAATTTGCCAAAAATTAATAATTTATATGAAGGCAAAAGCTGTTAGTGTGTGGTCCTGACCCTGGGTGAATTGTGGGTATTTCCTTATCTCCAGTGTTGACAATTAATCAATCCCTCTTCCCTGTCCAAAGTTTCCAATCCACAGGTTCTGTACTAAGGGCAAGGGTGATGTAGACTTTGAAAAAATGCTAAATCTTATACCAGATCAAATTTAAGGCAGAAAGGTTAGAGAAAGAATGCTGAGACAGACAACTCTTGTTCTGAGCCCAAGGAGCCCAGCTGGAAGAGTTGGAGGGCCAGTGACAAGGAGACAGGCCTGGGAACAAATTCTGGAGCTCTCCCCTGCTTGTTGGAAAGGAGCTTCCTGTGTCAGGCAGAGGGCATCTTCAATGCCAGGAAGTTTTCCCTCCAGATCCTAGGAAGTAGAGACCCAAGTCTACTAGCCTCTCCCACTTCAAGGGCGGGACTTCCTGTTTCTGGGGCTGTTTCTATTTGCCTGGTTCAGCACAATAGAGCTGGTAGCTTTCCACTGGGCTCAGCAGTGTCTAGATCTTGTGTGGGTTAGCAGGGAAGTGTGTGCATTGCTGGGGAGGAGCATCCCCAAGAAGCCAAACAAGACATAAGTCAGCTCTCAAAAGAAGAGCTAGGCTTCCACTGCATCCCTGGAAGGCTGACTTGTCTTCTGGAATTGTTGAGTGTGAGGTCAGCCAGTCACCCTCGTCCTTTTCTACCCTTTCAGTGTACTCTCTGGACCCCGGGAAAGCAGAAGACAGGTTAAAAACAGAAGCGCGACCATTTCTTTATTAAATTATACAAAAAGGGGAGGGGAGGGGGGCAGCTGTGGGGCTCGGCCCCAACCCCGGCCCCACCCCGGCCTGGCGCTGTCTGACAGGAGGGGATCTGAGGGAGACCCAGGGATCAGGCAGGAGAGGGATAGGGCAGGACATGAGGCTGGGGGATGCAGAGAGTAGGTAGGAGAGGCTACCCAAGGACGAGGACAAGTGCCATGGTGGGTGAGGAAAGGGAGGCAGAGAGCAAGGAGGGGAGAAGGGCCACTGGGGACCAGCTGGGGAGCTCAATGGAGCAGGTCAGGAGGTGGAACAATGGCAGAGTGAGGGTGGAGGGACAGTGTCTGGAGAGGCGGAAATGAGAAGGCTGGGGAGAAAGGGTGGCAGTTCTGGTGCAGGATCCAGAGCAGGGAGCCAGGTGAAGGGTGGCTGTACTTGTCTGTTCCCACCCACACCTCCAGGCCCTCAGGGGCCTACTACCCCCAGCCCATTGGCAGGGGGCTCATGCCGATGCCCCATTTTCTGTCTTCTGCCGCTTGGGATCCGCTTCATCCTGTGGAGAGGAAAAGAGTTGGGATAGTTGTAAAATGGGAGAGGGGACCTCCCCCTGTCCCGGCTGGCCATGCTCCAGCCCCCACCCGTGCCACCACTAGGATCTGGGTCCAAGTCCAAAGGGCACCCAGCCCCTGCTGCATCCCTGACAGCCCCTCAGGCCCGGCAACCAGCCCAAACCTCCTCTTCGGCAGCTCTCTTCAGCGCGGGCCCTTCGTCATCCTCTTCTTCTTCTTCCTCATCTGAGGAGCCAGAAATGGGTCATTGGGGAAGAGCAGGAAGCTCTGGCAAAGACCCCCTGTGGTTGCCCTCAGCCCTGTTTCAGGTCTTCAAACCCACCCTGACTCTGTTCTTTTTAGCCCTGATTTTTCCAGCCCAACCTCCACTGCCCCTCCCCACCTTCTTCATCCCCTTCATCTTCCTCCTCTCCATCCTCAGCAGTTTCTTCTTCTTCCTCCTCAGCTCCGTTTTCTTCCTCCTGAGGGCATCAAGATAGGGAGTATTGTTGGGCTAGCTGCGCGCCTCTACATACCATGGTAAGGGGGACTGGGTGACAACAGGCCTCAGGGTGGGACAGTGGGACATGGGCCAACACCCCAAGAAGGTAGCTGGAGGAAGGATGTAATAATGGGGAGGGAAGATGGTCGAGCACGTGTGGTCACCTCCCGCCTGACCCCTGCACACCTCTACCACTTCTTTCTTTCGCTCTTTCCGGCTTGCCTTCTCCTCCACCTTCTCCTTCTTCTCTTTCAGATCCTGCAAGGGAAAAAGAAGTCACCTTTATTTCACCACAAATGATGTGCAGCCCTTCAGTCCCTCCAGACTTGGTTCTCACTCTCTGCATTAAGTTTAGAGGTGTGTGAGTGAAGAAGGTGGCCACAGCTTAGAACAGAGGTACCAGGGTCCTTATATTAGGGCCACAGAGGGATTGACACCTGACACCTCTTCCCTAAGACCCAAGGGGAGTGAGAAAAGTCCCAATGAAAGGGGAACAGGCAGCCAAGGTAACTGATCCCCATCCTTGTCAAGTTCTTCCAAACCTCCCAGGCTGAAGAGTTCAGCTCAGCAAAGCAAATCCCCTCCATCTGCTGGCAGCCTCAATGCCCCACCCCCTTCATGTCCTTCCTCCTCCTTTGCCTGCCCCCTCCCACTGCCGGCTTTCCTCTGCCTTTTGTCTACCTCTGGGGCCTTTTCCTGAGTACTTTCTCTCTTGGGCATCTCTCCCAGCTTCCCCTTCAGCCCCTCAGGCCTTTGTTTCTCCCAATCTGTGTCTCCCTAATGATCAAGATCCTACATGGTGGGCTGATCCTACATGGTCCTACATTATAGCTCAATGGTGGAGTGCTTGCCAGGCATGCATGAGGCACTAGGTTAAATTCTCAGCACCACATAAAATAAATAAATAAAATATTATGTGAACCCACAACTTAAAAAAAAAAAAAATCCTACTTGGTCAAACTCTACAGAAAGAGAGAGAGCACCCCAGCATAATTCCAAACCTTACTCCCATTTTAACCATGCCTATCCCAAAACTGCTTCAGGAGTTTCCTCCTTCCTATCTCCATAGTTTATACATTGGTGTGATGGAAGAGTAGAAGTGGCCATTTCCGATGGAAATGTAGATAAAAGTAGGATAAAAGAAACATGTAAAGGAAAGACATGGTAGATGAAGAGAGCAAAAAACAGGGGAATGGGAAGATGGATGGGGCAGGTACCATCCAGTGAACCTTCCCACCACACTGCCCCTCTCCTTCACCCCAAGATGTGGGCAGGCACACACTTGTCCTATTCTTATCTGGCCCATGGGCATCTCCTATCCAATCTCCGGTGGATACCCATGTGGGCATCCCCTCTGGACACCACACCTGCCTTCTGATTCAGTCCTCTCCCTATCCCATCACTTGGCAGGTTCTGAGGACACTGCAGATATCCTCCTGAGATCTGATCTGGTGTTGGTGTACAACTCTGTGTACCTGATTCCATGTGGATGGAAGTTTTGTGTGTGAACAGATCACCCTGGGAGGGTGTGTCCTTCCTGGAACAGAACTGGGGATTAGAGAGGGGCTTGGTGCCAATAGGCTGGCCTAGGGCACACTCAATTCCCTTCTCACCTTCAAGGTAAGCATAGCACACCTGACCCTCTAATTTTAAGTTTCTATTTCATCCTACTCTGCTGTCTTCATTTCTTTGCCATAAGGCAGGTTTGGCAATTCTAACACCTAGTGGGCTTTTCCCTATATCCAGGATCAAGAGACCCAGGGGCTAATTCAGCTTCTCCCTAAGGGGCCTGTACCAGGTTGATAAGATCCTGGCCTGAGTTTTCTAACTGGGCAGTTGAAGGGAGGGAGGGAGAGGGAGAGAGACTACCAGAGTCCAAAGTCCAAGGGGCCGGACCCTCTCCTCCCCTGTACTGTCCTTCTGGTCACTGTCCTTCCATGATCAATGATCCCTTTTCCAGGAGAGTATGTGACCTGGGCTCTAGGTCTTGGGCTAAGCAGCTCTCTGGCCTCAACACAGGCACTCACTGACACAGGCTAATACTGATTCACACAGCCACAGAGGAGCGCCCACGCGATCTGGAGACACATGGCTCGGTGTTTGGGCATTCTGGCACACTCTTGAGACAGCACAAGAGCACAGTGGAGCTACTCGGTGCTCACAAAGCAACAACATGGCTCCAGAACGTCTACATCTCCACACGCACACATGTAACTGACACGGGCAGTCCCACACACTCGCTAGATTTTAGACATACAAAGACACCTACTCGTTGAAGTCACATGCCACCGCACAGCCCACCGGAGGGCCACACAGGCACACCTGTCAAAGCTCATACATGTGCCCTCTCCCACTGTCTTCCCCCCTTGTACTTCCCTGGCCTCCAAGAGAACTGTGTGACTCCTCAGCAACGCCCCCCCTCCAACAAAATCCAGCTCCCAGCCCCCAAACCCTGGCCGCATTAATTTCCCAAAGCGACACTCCGCAGGTTCCCTAGGGAAATTAGAGGAAGCCTGGAAGAGAGGCAAGGGCAAAGGGATGAGGCCGGGAAGGGAGCTGATGAGGGCAAGGACAGCTCCGTGCAAGGCCATGAAGTGCCAAGTCTCAGCTTTTCCAAAGGCTATTCCCAACCCCCTTCTGATTTTTAGGTTTTCAAGATTTTTTGGCGGGGTCGGGGGAGGCGAAAACGAAGAGAAAACTGAAAGCCGGTGCTGGGAAAGGAATGCATGGCGATGGACAGAAAGGAGGCAATGAGAGAAAAGAGGCAGATGCCGTCCGGGGAGAGAAGCAAGGGACAGGCCGCTAGGGGAGGGGCCCGAGAGGAGTAGCCTCCCGGGAGAGTCCTGTTTACACTTGAGGATCTCAAACCGCTTAGCAGCGGAAAGGTGAGGTCGGACTCAGAGGAGAGAGAGAGAAACGGGATGCAGGAAAGGGACAATGTAAAGCGAGGCACGGAGAGCTCCGACGGGAAAGCAGTCAAGGTAGAGGCGGGCGTGGTTGGGCCAGAGGGGGTGGGGACGCGGTGGTGGCCGGGCGCGGAACCGAGCGGCAAGGCCAGGACCGAGGCGCCGTGTGCGCAGGGAAGCTAGAGGGCGCTGGCGCTAGCCGCGCGTAGCGGGGTAACCAGCGCCAGGCCGGGCAGCTGGGGGAGGGCGGAGTGGGGTCCGCCGGGAGCGGGGCGCCAGGGCCGCACGGGGCCGTCGGGGGCAGCCTAGGGCCGTAGATCGCACCGCCACCAGAGGCCGCGCGGAGGCCCGGCCGCCGCCGCCCCTGCCCGTACCTTGGCGCTCAACTCGGCCGCTGCTTCCACGCTCTTCTCCGACATGGTGCCGGGGCCGGGGCTGGCGGGGAGCCGGGGTCCCGGGGCCGAGACGGAGAAGCCCTGGACGGCGGAGGGTGGCCGCGGCCGAAACCTAGCGCGGTGGCGACGACGGCGGCGACAGCGGCAGCGGCAGCGGCGGCCGCTCGGCAAGCTGTGTCTCTGGAAGAGGCGGCAGAGGCGCGCGGGGTGGGGCGGGGGTGGGTCCGGAGCGGAGACCCGCAGGGCTGCGGCCGTCCGGAGGGCGGGCGGAAGGGCGGTGCGGGCGGTGGCCGGCGCGCTTTGGCCGCGGTCGCTTGGTCCTGAGCTTGCCGCCCCCGCACCAGCAGAGCTGCCGCCGACCAGCCGCTGCCGCCCCCGGGAAGGGAACCCGCTTATAAGGCGGCGCTGCCCGACGGGAGGGGCTTCCCAGGGGTGGGGCAGGAGAGAGCGGGGAGGAGAGGAGATGGGAGGGGGATAAAAGAGGAGGTTGGAGAGGTGGGGATAGGAGGATGAAAGCGAGGGGAGGGAGAGCGAAAGAGGCGGGAGGGAGAATGAGACCAGGAGGGGGAAATGGAGAGACTGACGGCCGCTGAGAGAGAAGAGTGGGGAGAGGAGGTGGGAAGGGGTGGGGTTCCTGCGGGGAGACACCTCTCCAAATCCCAACCTACTGCCTGCGAATGTGGAGTCTGGCTCTGGGGGCGGACTAGCGAGGTGGCCAGAATCCTACTGACCCCAAAAAGCCCTGAGATGTTGCCAAGAGGCGGGGCGGGGGTGCAGATTGGGAGGCCGAGCAGGTATTTGAGAAACCAAAAGCTTAAAGAAGAGGAGGAAGGTTGGTTGAAAGCTACTTCCCCATGACGCTAGATTTCCCATCTTAGTCGTCCATCCACATTCTCTGGGTGGCCTTGAGAAGGAAGGAAGGGATGGGAGAGCGGAAAAGGGCAGCCTGGCCTTCTCGCCTGCTGAAACTGACCTCTGTGGCCCTGTTCCGTTTCCTCCCTTCCTGATTCTTTACTGTGATCTGAGGGGGAATCAGAGGCCCTGCAACCTCCTTTCCTCTCTCCAACTTCCACCTTTATTACTCGCCTCTCTAACCTCACTTTTATTTATCTGATTTTTTTGTTTGTTTCTTTTCAGCCCTCTTTATTCATCTCCCTAGACTCCTCTCTTACAACAATCTACGTCTTCATTCTTCTGAAAGCAATTCTCCACTTCTTACTGATCCTCTTCTACCCTTGCACCTCAGGACTCTTTCCCTCTCCTAGACAATGCTGTTTTTTGTTTTATCTGACTCAGTCAACCTGGCCCCATATCATTAGCTGATTTTCCTTAACTCCTCTTCATGTCCTATTTTTTTTTTTTTTTTACATTTTCCCTCTGTTTTCTTTTCTCTTTCTCCTGCTGCCATCTTTGCAAATATAATACACGACTTTGCAAATATAATACACGTCCAGATCTGGAGTTCCAGCCCCACCCTATTCTGGATATTTTAGTCTCACCCTCAACCACGGTGTGTTTGGGTCATTTTGAGAAGCTTGGGATTTCAGGTCGGGGACCTGGGTTGTACTAAAAATCAGTAAGGTGAATGGGCTGGAGGTTGTGATTTGGAAGAAAGTGTATCTTTGGTGTGTCATATTCCATATTTGTCATTAATTACTCTTCACCTTTTTATCATTTCATTTTCTTAATAAAAGGGCATTCCTTGTTGAGCCATCATCATCATTATGATACAGTGCTTAAGTACACCATCTTTTGATTCCTTGATGTACACACCTCGCAATTTCTCTCTTGACTCTTCTATCAGTTTCTCAGTCTTGGTCTCCTCAGAAATCTTGGGGCTCCACCCAGGTTTTTCCTTGCCTGATACTATCCATCTTTTTTCTGAGATCTTTCCATTTCCCTCTCTCAATCTGTTTCTCTGACTCATTGGCTGATGTCTCTGGCGATCTTTCACCATCTCCATCTCTGTACTTTCTCTCTTGCTTCGCTTAGCTCCCTCTTTCCCCCTCTTTCGCTACCCGTCCCCTCTCTTAGCCCCCCCCCCCCCCCCCAGGTCTCCCAGTCTCGTTCCTCCTGGTCGGTCTCTTTCCTCTCCCTCCCTCCCTCTTTTCCCCCTTTCCACCTCCCTGCCCCGCCTGCTGTCTCGGACACCCTGCTGGGCTCTTACCCTGTTGCCCTGGTAACCGCCCCCCACTCCGGTCACCTCCACTCCCCTCCCCCCTCCAATCACCGCCACCAACAACCTCCATCCACCTTCCTCCTATTTTTCCTGAGAACCAATAGAAACCCTGTTGCCAGGTGGAATGCTCATTTGAATCAGCCAATGCAGGAGCCTAGCTGCTTGCCCTGCCTTATATGGGGATGTGAGGAGGGCCACTCCCCCCACTCCAGCCCCACAGGGGACCAGCCCCTCCACAGTCCTTTCTCTCCCGCCCTGAAGGGAGATGTGGACCCTCCTCACCCTTTCATAAAGTGTCTGGCCTCCCACTTCTTTAACTGAGACCACCAGGGTTAGCGTGGGGTGTGGGCCGGACTGTGGGCTGGGCCTAGGGCTGGGGGTGGGAATGAGGTGTGATTAGGGAAGGGGAGGCGGAGGGAGCCGGGAATTTTGCCCAGGGAGGGGTGTCTGGGAGCGGAGGCAGCTGCAGTGGAAAATTCCAGGGAGATGGAGAGGCAGAGAATGGGAATCCTGTCCCAAGGCCCAAGGGAGCGCCTTGAGAATCTAAGAGCTTGGACACTAGGGTCCACAGGGACTCGAGGGAGAAAATTTAGGAGGCTGGAGGCTGGATCTAATTCCTTTCCTGCAAGGGGGAAGCAACCCTTATCTTTTCTCTTGCTGGTTGGACCCCAGGCTTCAAGAGAAAGAAGCTAGAAATTAGATAGGATGAATTTGTAGTGAGTGAGATACTGGAAATCTACCCCAACAATCCTTGAAGTTAGTCTCTGGGCCTCTGGGGCCAGTGGTGTTACATGCCAGTTTTTGCTCCTTTTCATAGAACTACTTCTGAGCCTTTGTGGAGGCTTGCAGATTCCTGGAATTCTATTACTCTACAGCCCAATTGAGAATTTCTCCCATTGGTTGAATGGAGAAACTGTGCTGCTTACACATTTTCTGAAAGTGGGAAAAAGAAGACCAGGTGACAACAAGAGAGGCCTGATCCCTCTGATCTGACATCCTAGAAACTTACCTTACTACTGAATGTGGAAGAAAATTCAATTCTAATTACTTCCATGTCATTCTTAGTAAATTCTCCCTCTCCAATTTCCTGAATTTTTTCAGTGTGTATATTTAGCCCAGAGGTTAAATGCAAAGGAAAGTCTAGTTGTCATTCAAGGCATTAGAGGACAGAAACCTGAGTATGGGGCCATCTCCACTCATTTTACTTTTTTATCCCCATTCCACTCTCCCCATTTTTTCTTTGCTTTTTTTCCCCCCCCAAAAAAGTCTGGAGAATTGAGAAGAGATGGGCTCAGGGAGGTGGGGGTTGGGGGGGGGGAGAGAGAAAGAAAGAGAGAGAAACCCACTCAATCTAACTTTGGATCATATTCAGTATGTTATGCCCAACAGTGTTAAATAAGAAATAACCCTCACAACAATTCATCATGAATGCTATTAGTCTAATTGGTCTTTATCAGTCATCAAAATTCTACTTACATTTAAATTAATTTAAAAACATTTTAAGGACCCGGGCACAGTGGTACACGCATATAATCCCAGTGCTTGGGAGGCTGAGGCAGGAGGATTGTGAGTTCAAAGCTATCTTTAGCAATTTAGCAAGGCCCTAAGCAACTTAGTGAGACCCTGCCTCAAAGTAAAATATAAAAAAGGGCTGGGGATGTGGCAAAATGGTTAAGCACCCCGGGTTTAATTCCCCATATAAAAAAAAAAAAAGGAAAAGTTTCTTTGTGCCCCTCCATAAAAAGCTTAACTTTTGCACTTCAACAAACTGTAATTGATCTTCTACTAGGTAGTCAGGACTATGTTATATGATGGAGACACAAAGCTGAATGAAAAAGACATGGTGCCTGCCTCAAGAAATAGATGGAGAGAGCTTGGTAAATCAAAGTACAAGCTGATAAGGGCTCACCCTGATAAGGGACCTGTATCCAGGACTCTTTTTCCATCAGTCAAATCTCTCTGTATAGTATTTCCTCTTAGTATTCCATTCCTGGAGTCTATCCCTGATCTCTCCTGACTTTGCAGAGCTTCATGTCCAGTGTTTCTAACACCAAACAGACTTCCTTAGTCTTCCACCCATACTGTTAATATCTTTTTGTGTATAATGCTAGGCACAAGAGGAAGAGCTCAATAAATGATTTATTTCCTGCCCCAGGGATATCATTTTGGATCCAATCTCAGAGATTACTTTTTAAAACCTTTTTTCTTTAGGTGGGGTGGGAAAATATACATCAACATACAACATGCTGCCAAGATACCAGGCTTGGATCTTGTCTGATTTGAGATTGTCATTAACTATTGATGTTCCAGTGGTCACTATCTTTCATGTTTGAACATCAGAACTAAAATTTCTCTGGCTTTTTTACTTCTCCCTGAACTTTCTCTCCAGTAAAAAGAATTGGTTTTATCATTATACCTATCCTTCAGATTCTTGACTGACTTTTCATATTCTTTATGCTCTCCTTCATGACCTCTTTTACACCTAGAATAGTTTGCTATTGCCCAAGCCTCTTCTGTCCTTCTTTAGCTTTCTTCCCTTATATGTACTCTTCAAAAAGCTTTCATGGTCTTCAGAAAAGCCCAGAAGGAGAACATCATTTATAGGTGCTTTCCAGCTCTATGCAATAAAACTTTCTGTGATGATGGAAATGTTCCTCATCTGTTCTTTCCAATACAGTAGCTACACGTAGTTATTGAACACTTGAAAATGTGGCTAGTGCATTTTCCGAGAAAGTGAAGTTTTTTAGTTTAGGTTTTTTTGTTTGTTTGTTTGTTTAATATTGGGGATTGAAAGGGGTGCCTCACCACTGAGCTACATATCTCCTTAGCCCTCTCCATTTTTTTGTTTTGAGACAGGGTCTGGCTAGCCTCATACTTGCAATCTCCCTGCCTTAGCCTCTTGAGTTTCTTGGATTACAGACTTGTGCCACCGCACCCAGCCAGTAAATTCTTTTTTTTTTTTTTTTTAATGAGGTAACTTTTTTTTTCCATAGCTTTATTTTATTCATTTATTTTTTACGTGGTGCTGAGGATCGAACCCAGGGCCTCACATGTGCTAGGCAAGCGCTCTACCACTAAGCCACAATCCCAGCCCGTGAATTTTTAATTTTAATTAATTACTTCCTTTTTGCAGTGTTGAGGATGGAACCCGGGCCTCATGCATTCTAGGCAAGCACTCTGCCATTGAGCTACACTCCAACCCTAACTTTAAATTTTAATAGCCATATATATATATATACTAGTGGCTACCAAACCTTGACTCTAAATTGCTTCTCTCTCTCTCTCTCTCTCTCTCTCTCTTTTTTTTTTTTTTGT